ATTTAAATGACATGTTATCATGATTGTGAATATTTGTTTGAAAGTTCATGTATGTTTGGTTATTCTTTGAAAGATGTGGAAATATAATTTTTGGAAATTATATGATTCGAACTGTGTCTGACCTTTGGCATGATTGATGATTTTATGATGAGAAATGAAAAAGGATAAAAGTTGTGCTATCACGAAAGGAGATAGAAATACGTATGGATAGTTACAAAGATATACTAGGGGTATAGAATTCGAAAATGATTTAGGAAATCTAGAAGAAATGAGAGTGGTGAATGATGTTTGTAGTGCGTGCACATAAATTAATGAAAATGAAAGCATCACAGACCTCACACTCATTTTTTTACTAGACTCTTAACTATACTTTTTGCTAAAAAGGACCGAATAAACACATATCCGTATTGGTACGACTAACCAACGACTATCCATACCAATGGAAGACCTCAAGGGATCTCAAAAGCAATGATTATGTGATTGTAATATATGTGTTGTAGTATATTGATTCCGTGATTAAAATATATATATTGTAATATCTTAATTTGTATGACTATAACATGTGTTGTAATACATCGACGAGTATAATTATAATACATGTATTGTAACATATTGATTGATTTGATTATAATATATGTATTATAACATATTAATTAGTGTAAACATATATTAAATAGTATGATCTTAGTATATGTTGTAAAATATTGCTGATATGATTGTCACAGTGTTTGATCTGTCGTGAATTCGTTGAATCATTATTTCAGTTTAATTTTAGTGGTGAGAAAAAGACTCATCCTTACTTACATTTTTAGAAAATAGAGTATAACTATTCTAAGAACACTAGTTAGATTGATGGTAATTATGATCATATTTTTCAAGTTTTGGTGCAAGAAGTAATTTGTCACTAGAATCTAATGTATTTTGGTTTTTCTTCTTTTTGTAATTATTTAATTTAAGTTCTAATGTATTTTGACTATAATTTGTAAATATTGTATTTATGTACTTCTATAGTACAAATGAAATAATTGATTAATGTTGTTCAAATTTTATTTAATAAGTTATATGATGATGAGAAAAATTTAATTATGTTTTAAATTCTATCATTTTAAATAATTATTAAATGTTTTAAGATTGACGGATAAAAAAATAAAATTTAAATTTTTATAAATTTTCTCGTATTACAAAAAAAAGTTAAAATAATAATTTAATTAAAATCTTAAATTCTTTATAAATTATTACAAAATAATTTATAAAAATAAGAACGTATAGAGCTAGTGTATTTAATAACGAACAAAATTTGGATAAAAAATATTACAAGTATTTTAATATTATTTTTTAATTAAAATTAAAATTCTACCTTAATAGTATGCATAATAAAAATTAGCATATCAACTATAAATATTAAGACATATTATTAAGGTAAAGCTTTTGTTCTAATTGAAAAACAATAAAAATATCTATGTTATTGTAGCTAAATTTTATCTTTCAAAGTTTAAGTTATTATTTGAGTTGTGCTAACTTTTTATGGTGTTCTTTATTTTTTAAAAATTTTATACTTTTTTTAATACTTATATACTAATAATTGTTTTTATTTAATAAATAATATCTTGCATATTATTTATTTTGAGATACTATAAATATTGTCTACTTTAACTATAAGTATATATAATATAAAGAGCAATATATTATGTAATCAATTCAAGTTGTTGATCGTTTCTTGGTATTATCAAATTATGATTGAGTCAAATTTAAGTTCAAATAACTGATCCTATCAAAACTTTGGTTTAGATAAGAACAAAAGCAAATTTGTCCAACCACCAACCTATTCCACGAGCACCCATATTATTAACCCATATAAATTCATTTGTTTTGTCGTTTATTTTTACAATTTTAGGTGAGTTGAGCCTCAAAAAATCACTAAAGTAATATGTCTCAAGATTTAAAGAGAACACTTTATAGACCATTTAACAGTAAAATTTTTACATCAACAATGAAATTTGAACTCCAGTCATATAAATTCATTTTGATAAAAAGGAATGTAAAAAAAAAATCCATCAACTGAAAATATATTTCTCGTTGAAATTTAAAAAAATTGTGGCGATACACACAAGTATTACATATCTCCAATACCATAATATGGCATTTTCTTTTAGCATGTAGTTTCTAATCAATGGCAAATCATTAACAAAAGTTTTAAGGTTAAACTCTTGAGAATGTAATTTATAAATAAATTTATTACACTTTCTTTTGAGAGGATAGTCTCGTTAATATTTTGGAGCCTAAAAAGAACAGAATAATACTTTTGTTTAAATAAATAAATAAAAATTGCAAATTGACAATAAGTTCTCGTGTAAAACTACCTGATTTTCCTTCCAAGCTTTTGCTGCATGTTCCTCATCTATTTCATCTCCCTATTTCAATCGACGACAAGTTATAAGCAAGAAGATTTAGTAGACCATCAATTTTACTTCTCATAATTTGCCTAAAACTAATTGGCTTAAATTACTGTATAATGTTTTATTGATCTACGTCTCTGGACCTTCAAGATATCAAGATCACATTGGATGTGGCTTATTATTGTATCTTTCTTGACCTCTAACTAGATCACATTATGTTTAGTAGAGCTGATAAAAAGGTTTTAGCCTATATACCAACCCTACCAAACCTTGAAATAATTCATCTCATGTCCCTATATTAATTCTAAAAAATTAATTAAGTTTCAAATTGATTAGTCTAAAATATATGGGTCAAAGTGGAAATATTCATGGGTTAGTCCAGATTAAACACTCCAAAATTATAGTTGAAATCTAACATTTTAAAATCTTAATTAAACATCAATCTCCATTTAAATATGGGTTTGCCACTAATTTGCATTTATTAATTATTCTTCTTTTCTTTCATTATTCTTTAACCTGTGTATACCATCGTTGCAATAAAAAAATATCAAATATATTAAAAAATATGTTGATATTAATTAATAAACTATTAATACCATATTAATTTTTAATATATAAAATATTTTTTTTAAAATATTATTATTAAATATTTAAAATTAATCTTAAAAGTTAATGATAATAAAAATTTTATAACCTAATTGAATTTACATATAAATTTACACTTATTTTAATATTAATAGTTGAATTTTTTAATCATAAGTATTGAAGTTTTAACGTATTTTTAAACTTTCATTTATCTGTTTTGTTCAAAAAAGGTATATATGTAAGTAAAATTGTTTCTCTCAAAAACACTTTTTTTTTTATCTTTATTAGTTTTTATGTTAATTATTTTGAAAAATCGTAATAAAATATAAAAATTATGCATATACTTATAAAATTTGAAGTCTAATAATTTTTATTAAAATTTAATTACTATGTTTAATTTATTTATTTTAATATTAGTCATTATTTACTTTGAACTTTTATTTAAAATAAAAAATTATTATTTTATTTAATTTATTTGAATTTAGGCTTGTTAACACAAAAAGTCTATTAAAGTTATTTTCAGGTTGATTTATAAGTGTTTAGACATATATAAATTTTTGTAAACATATTTTTAATTATATTTGAATGTAATTTGACATTAAACACTTCTATGAAAGCATGTAATTTTAAGTTTTTGAACATGTCAATTTTCTTTTATCTTATCAAAAAGTTAAAATTTTTATTACGATCGTTTCTTGTAATTATAGTAACATCTTTCATCTCTTTTTTTTTTTTTGCTTTTATTATTTTCTTCTTTTTTCAGTTCTTATTCTCATCTTAATAATTTTAGTTTTTTTGTAGTATACAATTTAATTTAAGATCATTTAATTTAACAATACAAATTGTAGTTGTCATTAATAAGAAATAATAATATAAAAAAATTTATAAAAATAACATCTTGACAAGTTTATAATGAATTATAAATAGATTTTTAATCTAAGTAGAAATTATAAATATACTTTTTATAGAATAGTATATAAAAAGTGTAGTAAGTATTTAACAATAATAAAACCCCCATGTATTGAAGAAAAATGAATATAACATAGTCTTTTTATTACTACAATAAAACTTTTATTTAATTATACATGAATATTTTTTTTTGAAATTTTAATTTAATTTTACTTTTATTGATTTCAAGAACACAATGTTAAATGTTAGATAATTTTTTACTGTGTAAGTCATTAAAATTTACATTAGTAATTTTTTCTATAAAACTGACTCTATGAGTTAAAGACTTACAAAATAACTTTTAATTTATTGAACTTTTTGACCCTAATTCACATCACCTAAGGATAAAACTAAACCAATTAAGCTTTTGACAACTCTAAATATCTAGTGTCCTCATTCTTCCAAGTCATTGTTTAAAATATCGCATCTCCTTATTCTTTTCACCCTTCGTCTCCACATTTCTCCCAAATTCATTAATGACAAATACATTAATTATAAAATAACAATTAAATTTTGTCTTATTATGTCAGTTACATAAGTTGCATGACACTGAACTTAATTGAAAATAAATATTTAGAGATATTTACTATAAAATTTCTTTTAACTAGTCAAATTGTATTTTGTATTTTAATAAAGATGTTATACATATAATACGAGTTAAGTAAACTAATTAGAAAAAATATATATATATAGTTATTTGTGACCAAAAAACCAAGCTCAAAGAAAAGTTTTATGAAACTAATACATGGCCAACAATCCTCTATTATACACGTTGAGTTTAAAGAGACAATCATAACAGCAAAAATAAAAAATGTTAAAGATAAATGTATAACTACTTTAAGAAAATATATGATAAGGAATAACATAATTGGTTAAGGTAGTTTGGATATATGTAAAACAAGCCACTAGAGGAACCTGCAAGGAGAGTGAATTGCAGGGATTTTAACCTTATAAATAGGGGTAGAGGAGACAAAGAATAATTCTAGAGGAAGAACATTAATCTCTACGAATGTAAAAACCCCAATTTGATCCTTAAGAACCACAAATGTTGGTCATATTAAGCCTTTCTCAAAGGTGAAATTAGCGCTTTACTTTAATAGGATAACAGTAATAAATGCTACAGCCTACAAATGTAGTAAAAGCATCCACATTCATTTATATGCTTTGGATTGTTGAAGTATTAGAGAGCAAGATCAACATGCATGTTAGAAACTGCAGGTTTACATCATTAACCACAATCACAAAAGGAAAGGAAGCAAATCATTTAATCAAACCACAGTCAAGTGCTATAATGCCACAGATACAGATTCAGTTTCGTTCTTATTCAGGTATTAGTTCTTTCTTCCTTCACATAAGATGATATGGTAACCATGCCTGCATCATCATTCAAGCAAACATTAGCACTTCTGCCTAAATGGAGAAGAGAAGGGGCATGGATGCTCATGTAATAATTATAAGGAATCAAGATAACAACACTTAAGAGTCCAAGAGAATACGTTGATTTGAAAGGAGCGCTAGTAGCTCCAATAGGTGTACTGAAGGCAACATCCTGAAATGGTCCAGCCATCTTTCCTCGGGGAAACCATCCAAGGTCTCCGCCTTTCTTTCCTGAAGGACATTCAGAATACTCTTGAGCTACCTGTGAAATCAGTGAAATATTATTGATAATATACAATTGAAAATACAAATATGTCTCTAGATTAATTTTAAATGAAGAGATTTTTATCTCTCCTTTCCAACAAACTGCTATTGATCCTACTTCACATTATTTAAAAAGGGTCATGGTAGGCAAAAGATAATTCTGGCATTTAACTCAATAAGATTCTCAGCCCCACAATAAATAGAAAACCAAATGAGGATTTTAAGGGGGGGGGAAAAACAAAAATCAGTATAACTTCTAAAGAAAAATACCTTTGCAAACTCAGCTGGTGGGACCTTATCTCCGTTGCTAAGCCAACCATCCTGCAGCTTCTTGTAGGCTTCATTAATCTTACCTTGTTTCTCACATAAAACATGCCTTGCTGAACAGAATAAATAACCGATAATAAATGTCATTCTAAGACAAAAACTATGAAAAAAACTACTCAAATGGTTACAATGGTAATCGTGGATGGTGCAAATTTTCTACCTTTGACATAGGTGCAAGTACCAAGTGAATCTCCACCTTTCCCACCTTTTCCTTTTCCCTTAGAAGCATTCTCATCACTTCCACTTGCTGCCTGTTTTCCCTTTCCCTTCCCTCCTGATTCCTTTGGCTTTGAGTCTTTTCCCATGTTTCTTACAACTTAATGATTTTCACTGAATAAGTGAAGCAAACACAGGTATATTACACAAGTGAACCAGTAAAAGGCCTATTTGATTAAACTTCTCAATAAGTACTTTAGAATAAGAAAATAAAATAGACTTCTCTCATAAGTTAAAATCAACTTATACAACAACCAAGTCTTATCTCATTAGGTGAGGTCGGTTATATAGATTACTGATGCCATTGAGCTCGGTCAAAAATCAAATTTTTAGAAATTTGGTTAGTCAAAAGATATCCTTTAATAATTTTGTCTAAGGTTCTTTTAAGTCTCTCTGGATCCCTCTTTACCGGAATAAAATCAACTTATGCGCATAATTTTTTTCAAAAGCTTTTCCATCCAACGACTCTAAAAGCTAGTTTGCATAAGTTAATTTAAGTTATAGAAGAAGTTTGATTTATTTTATCTCCATATTTTCTCCTCTTGTAAGTGCTAGTCTATAATATTATCCAAATTGGATCAAAGTTAAGTAACAAATGGTTGCAAGCTATAAACAAATTAACACAAGGATGATACAAACAACTAAAGTGCATTAATGAATATAACTATGGAAATTTCAACAGAATTACAGATTGTATCAAATGCTAATTGAACTTTTCTTTTGAAGATAAAAATAAATAACATATCAAGAGAAAGAAGAAAATTACAAAAGGGGTAAGAAATCCCAACTACAATCTCTGACTATATTAAAAGAAAAAAGAGATTTCATATGCTCTACCCACATTGTAGCATAGGAAACGACTCTATTCTATCTGAAAAAGATGAAAGGGTAGAAGCTTATGAATAAAGACACTGGCATTGATTTGCATCCAAAACCACACAAAATGAGTACATAGGCATAAAATTTTGTAGCTCTTCTCAGGGTAATCAATACAAGAGCTCCAGAGTCATGACAATCCCATTGCTCCTAATAAGCATTAAAAAAATCAATCTAGCTATATACCCATATCTATCAAGCTAACATACAGGTACACATTCTCAGGTACAAACTAAGGCTACGCTTGGTGAAGCAAGAGTTGCAACCTGTCTAAGCTATAAACTTCACATCTTCTCAATTTCAGCTAAATCGTTAAATCGGGTTGGCCTAAGGTTTTAAGGTGTAAAAGTAAAACAAATATAATAATCATGTAGCTGTCTCAAAGAACAAAGCTTTTAAGGTGTCTGAAACTATTAAATGCCATCAAATCCATCACTATAAGCCATGTGACTAATGTAAAGGCAAAATGAACCTCTAAATTGAAAATTCATGTTCAGTTTCTTAAACGGGTAAAAGTGTTACAGAACAAAAAAGAGAGGGGGGGGGGGGGGGGAACACAGCATAAGCAATTGAAAGGCAAAAATCAAGAAAAACGTGATGAATTGTAACAAACAAGTGGATAAAAATCGGAGCTTTTTCACCTCTAAGCACAAATGAATAACGAAGTCGCCGACTGAGAAGTTGTGAAGCGTGATGAATGGTGACGAGTCACCTCAGTGGTCAGAGCGAAGAGAATCTCATTTCATTTCGCTTTTTCATTTTTGGTATTTATCTAATTACCTGGGCTGTATATCTATCGGGCCATGCCACACACCCCACATATATTAAAACTAGGCCCAACTTGAAAACATTGAAGGGGATGTTCTTTCGCACACACCCCCTTTTTTGTTTTTCGTTTTCCCCCACTTTTTATTGTTTTGTAATTTTTTTTTTCTAAACCCGTAAAATTCCATCCACTAATCTTTTGGATTCGATTTTTTTTTTCTGAAATAAGGTAAAAATAAAAAATTACTAAAATAATATATATATACAATATTTTTTTTGTTTAGATTATTTTTTATTATGTAACTTTAAGCATTGACTGTACAGGATTGACGTTTATTTTTTTAATAATAAAAATAAGTGTCAACACTTATTTTGTCCAATGAATGATTGACACTTAATTTTTTTATTACTAAAAAATTAAAGTTTGGTCGAACATATTGTATGAAGGGTTCTTATTGTACTTGTTGGCAACATTGCATACTATATCTGATCTCACCTTTGGTGCCCATGAGAGGATTGTTTTAAGAGAGCAAGGTAATAGCTCTAGAAAATTCCTTGAAGAAATAGTCTTGGCTAAGAGTCACTTTGTTCACATAAGATTTGGTCCTCTTGTCGTTGGCTAATTGGTGATTCACTATAAAAGAATCTTTATTGTCTTAAGATATTCCTGTAATAGTTGTTGTCTAGAATCTTGGACGTGTCACAATCGTTTCTCCCGTGCTACACGACCTTTGGGGTAGGAATAACATCAGGACACTTCTTCAACATGTGAGGGACATGATCAAAGTTGAGTGCTGAGTACAAATGATGCACCAACTTCACACAGGGTTCGATCAACTTTAATTTTTTAATAATAAAAAAATAAGTATTACTTGTTACATAGACGATAAAAAGACAAGTGTCAACTTACATATGAACTAAAGACACTTATTTTAAATAAGTTAAATTTAAGTTAAAGCAAGTGTCAATCTTATAATAACTGATATTTAAAGGGACGTGATAAAAAATACTTTAAATAAGAAAAATATTTTATAAATACACTATTTTAGTAATTTTTTTATTTTTACCTTATTTAAAATAAAATAAAAAACCCTTTAGATTCACTTTTCTCCAAATTCCAAAAAGTCATGCTTTTTTGTATTTTTATGCACCCAAAAATTAATAGATAAATAAGTTTCAGTAAACTTATTTCTCGTTATGCTATTACCAATTGCACTAAAAAACGTCATTAATAAATACAGATTCATTTCAAGAAAAAATTATATATTTACTTATTTGTATTTACACTAAAGATGTTTGATGCAATTTAAGCCATCAAACTCATTTAATATATATAATTGATAATAAATTCTACATTCTTAAAAAATTTTACTAACTAATTCCTTCACATATTAATATATGATTACGAAAGTTAAATTCCAGAAATTTTTTAATCATACTTCTGAAATTTAATTTTCAAAAGAATTTTGTATAAACTTCAGAACATAAATTTTGGAAGCGATACTTTTGGAATTTAATTTCTATATGCATTTATCAGCAAGACTTCTTATTTTTTTAGGCCATTTTTTCTAGTAACAAAAAAATAGATAATAAAAGCACAACCAAATCGATAAATAAAATACTCGGAAGAATGATGTGGTAAAAGATTATGCAAAGATGTTGATGGAGTATCAGAACAGTAGAGATTTTAAAAAGGTAAGGTTGTAAAAACCAACTTCCTGAAGCAATTATATACTTACATTTTACGTTTATTCCTATTTACTTAAAATTTCTAACACTAACGTTAATAAGACAACTTTATTAACATAAGTTCTTAAAGGTGATTCTAAACATATGAAAATAATAATTTTTATTAAAATAAGTATTTATTTATTTTTATATTTTTTATTTATTAAATACTTACTTATTTTAATAATTTTTTATTTGATTTAATTTAGATTTAACTCAAGTTGCGCACCTAGATGTGGTGAGTAAGTTTATTATTAAAAATTTTTTGTATATACAATGACTCAAATCTAAGACTTTATTTAAGTGATATCAAGCTGCTTGCTGATAAAATTTATTATTTTCAATTATAAGTCAATCGAGACTCTTGATATGCGACAAATCTATTATCATATGAAAGAACAATAAAATAAGCCCGGTTTAACCTTTTTTTTTACAGCATGTTATGTTAGCTAAAATTACTACTAATCTAAGAAAATGTGTTTTACAACTTAAATGCTCATCAAACTGCAAACAAAAATGGAATTCGAGTTGACAAAGCCATTTCATTCTTTTAGAAAAATATCCTATATTCTAAAATATAGTATTTTTGAAAATATGTCATTTAACAGGTATTAAAGAATGGCATGAAAATTTATGAAATTTCAAAAATTGTCAATACTAATTTTTAAAAACAATTGAAAAAAAAATCAAAACTTACAATTGATGATTTTTAAAAAATAAAAATAATAAAAAATATCCTATAGCAATTTAAAAAAATAATAAAAATATTTTAAATACCAAAAAACATCACTAAAGATTTTAGGTTAAAAATTACTAAAATTTATATATTTTCATAATTCCTTTCAAAACATCCCATTTTAAAATTTTTTTAATTTTTTCGTTTATATATATATATATATATATATATAGGGGAAAAGACATGTCCGATATCCAAGAGAAATTCTATCAATTTCTTGAAAAAGTAAAGGAAAATAAACAAGACTGAAAAGGAAAGTAGGCAGTAGCAGGACTACTAAATGAAATGCAGAATGTAAAGTACAGAAATTTAAAGTAGTAAATTTAAAACATAAGAAACTAAAATGGCGGTAGAATCAGCACAAATCTAGTGGAGGGAGAAGAGAAGAAAGTCGGTCGTCCGAACAGAGCCGGCTAAGAGGGAGAAGAGAAAAATAACAAGAAACAACAAACTTTTATTAAAAACTTGGAGAAAAGCTTACAAGAAATATTGTCAGAGCACTTCTCACTAGTTTCTCTCTTTAATGTTGCTTAATGAAAAGGTACCTCACAATATGGTCGAGGCCTCCTTATAAAGAAAATTTAAAACACTATCTGTATAGTTTCGAAACAATCATCTTCATTTTGATAAAAGTCGTCTTCTTTGTTGGAATTAGACTCTTCTTTGGTAGAAGATTCAGCCTCATCTTGATTTATAAGAAGAAGAACTTCTTTTAAGTTTTTCTTCATTTTATCTTTAGAATCACATCCTGATAGGAAGGCAGCAATTTTTGCTTTCTGATTTAGAAATTGAAAAGTTGCTTGATCCGCGAGCTTTAAAAGTTTTGGATTGTTTCCAAAAAATTCATTAACTCGTTGTGGTCCGGCATGTTCTGCATTGAATTGGTTCCACCATTTCACAAAAGCATGTCTGTGAATCATGGGTAAAATATCATCTTCTTCTGTCTTGCTATACCTGTACTGCCATGAGAATACTCAGGCCATAGTAAATGCAGAAAAATATTTAAGATCTGCACCAATCCTGCTGGGAGCATATCTAGTTTTAAATATTTCAAATCCTTCTTTTATAGGTGATGGAAGGATTGCTTCTAAAGGTCCAAAAAAGTCGCACCATTGTAGGAACCAATTAGGGAAATTGTAATTTTGGTTTTTCTTGAAATAGATCAACCAAGAGTGTCGATTGAGCTTATTCTGGAACCAGAAAGTCCTTGTCCAAGCATCAATATAGTCCCAGTAATTATATCCTACCGGATCAAAAGATTGGGAGAACTTTTTGAATACATTTGGATCTTTTCCAAAATTCTTTGGTGACAGAATCTTTAATATCTGTATTGTTGAATGAGTGATTATTGAAGGATCTTTTTGGTCCTTGTAATGTTTAATAGAGACAGAGTCTGAATCTGAATCTATTAAGATGAACTCATAAAATTGTCTGGTTTTGCTCAAGGCATATGGTCTGAAATGAAAACCAGGAGAAAATGCTTTGGTGATAGCTTTGTATGGGTTTTTGTCCCAAAATTCGGGTTCCATTTGGATGACAGTGAAAAATTTTCCTTTTGCCATGTAATGATTGGTATTTGAGGATTTACCCTTTTGAAGACTATAGCTTTCTCTATTTTATCAGGGAAGCTTATTGTCTTTTGTGATTGACTGAAGGATTGGGTAATAGTGTTTAGGTTTGCTAAATCTATTTCCATGTCTTCATTAGAGGCAATGTCTGCCCAAGATTTCTTTGGTAGGCTGTTTAGGCTACCTTGTTGTATGGCTAGAAGAGTGTTGACAGGGAAAGCATAGTCTGCTTTGGTTTGTTTAACACTTTTTGATTGGGAAGAATCAGCCTTGTTGAATGAGTCTTTTTTAGGAATCACAGATTGCTGAGTAGATGACTCTACAATCTAGATGGCTTTCTGGGTGAATGACCCAGTCGGAGTAGAAGACCTCGAAGAATTGGAACAAGAGTCTGTAGTGACAGACTTTGATTTTGTTTTGTTTAGAGTCAGGGCAAGCCTAACTCTACCACCTCTGGTTGTTCCTCCCCTAGAAGGGGTAGCTGCCTTTCTAGGCATTCTATTTATCCTATAAAAATTCACGGGTAAGGTAGTCAGGAAGGGAATTGGAGGTGCCTTTGAGATATTCAATATCAAAATCAAGAACACTTAAAATTGCTTGTCATCTTGCAAAAATTTGTTTCGAGGCAAGATTTTTAACATCTTTTTGTAAAATTTTTTTAGCAGACTTGCAATCTACTCTAATAAGAAATTTTTGGTTTAGTAAATCTGATTGAAATTTTGATACGCATAAAACAATTGTTAAAACTTCTTTTTTAACAGTTGAGTAATTCTGTTGTGTAGAATTCCAATGTTTTGAAGTGTATGCAATGATATGCTTATGAGACTCGATTCTTTGTTTGAGAATGCCACCATAACCTATGTCAGAGGCATCAGTTTCAACAATTTTGAAAGCTTGAGGAATAGGAAGATAGAGACAATTTATTTTTCTGACTCTATTTTTTATTTCTTTGACGACATTGGTA